ACCAAATCCTGCTCTTTTGGTGGGGGTCCTGGAGGCGGTGGTGGAAATGGTAGATGGGGCAAAGTAAGCCCTGTAGTTGGTGGCAAAGGAGGTGGAGGTGGAAGCGGCAAAGAAGCAGATATAGCATTATTCGCATCCGGTAGAGGAGGAAGTGGAGCAACTAAGGCAGAATCTTCTGACTCAATATTAGAAGACAATGCAGCACCGCTAGATGAAGCACCATCCGAGGAGATTCTAGGACCTGGAAAACGTTTAAAACAATCCTTTTTACGAGAAATACAAAAAGAGGGAAGTAAGAAAAAAGGACTGTTTCGATTTGTAAGCAGCAGAGCATTAACAAAAGAGAGTACCTATTGATGAATTATACATTGGTGGCTTTCCTGGGGGTGGTGCACCAGTCGGGTTCAAAGTAGGGTGATAATAAACAGAGTCCTGTCACGATATGCAGAAAAAAAAAGTGAGGGAAGTTTCGAAATCAAGCAGGGATTAGAAAGAAGACAAACTAAAGTACCTCTGGTTTTAAGTCCTTTGATCTATCATCCTCTTCACCGGTTGTTCTTCGTTGAGCGGGTAGATGACTGCATAGAAGAGAAGAACAGGTTATATCTAGTAGAAAGTCGATGACATCTTAGCAATCAATATTTATAGCAAAAAAAAGTAACGGTATAGAACGATAATCACCTGAACATAACAGAGGTTGTGGCCTCTCCTTGCTCCTTCTTTTTCTCATCATATTCCTGTGAAAACAAAAGAGACAAAAGCATAAAAAGACAAGCAATGCCAAAATGGTAAGCTGGGAGTGGGGACTGTTGGGGAAAAAGAATGAAAAGCTAACTCTACCAGAGAAATACCTTTCTCTTCTTCACCACCATTTTTAGAGTATCTTCAAGCTGTCTCTTTTTATGTTTTCTTGCTTTGTCCAAAGCACCTTCAGCCTCTACACAAATCAAAACATCACCTCTGTATTAGTTTGCATAGAGACTAACTATTGAACAATTCTATAATCTTGTTCAGGTTTAGTGATACACGAGAAACTCGGAAGCCAAATGTCAAAGACAAATTAGATTTCGAAGAAATAAACTAACTTACTTGACATATCAAGTTTCCTGATCTGTTCCTTGATTTGCTCAGGATCCTTCTTCAAAATCCCCACCTCTCTCACCTTCTGTCTCTCTTTCTTGTTCTGTTAAAGAACCAAAATCAAGGTAAAGGTTCAGTATATAGCCCAAAAAATCGACACAACAGCAACAGTATTAACTGAGACAATGAGACTACAAAATCTCATCTTTCTAAGTTCCTACAAAGCTAATTGACCTTAACGTTTCTGAGCATTCGAATCAAACTTCCATATAAACTTCTCTAATGCCTAAACAACAACAAAATTCAGCTTTTATATGAATATTTTATCCACCTGAGCCACTGTGATATAAAAATTGGTTTCGAAATCAAACAGAGCAATTTTAACCTAAAATCTAAAATTCATACAGCGACAAGAACAACAACAATTATCCCAAATTCGATAACTTACACGTTTAATTTCCCTCTTGCGAATCTCCTTGCGGTAAGCATCAGTAGGGTTCATCACTTTCCCTCCTTTCGTCGTCTTCATATTTTCCTCGCTTCCCAAAACTCCCACCGATTTAGGAATCGTTCACAATCGAAGAATCAAACACAAAGATCTTGGTGGGTTTTATCTTCTCTCACGAAAAGTATTTGAATTTTTCGTTTGTCCCAGAAAGATTAGATTTTCTCTCCTCCTCAACTCTCGATCTATCTCTCTATATCTATCTACGAGGCTCCAAATCTCAGCAAAAACAAACAGATTTTTGTCTTTTTGATACACGAGCGCCTCCGTGATAATATCAAAACGGGCCACTAATGGACTATTAGTAAAAAGGCCCATTCTTGATTCTTATATTTCGTTTAGTTCTTAATTACATATATTAAAGTTGTTATTAAAAAAAAAAAAGAATCTACTGATTTTGTATTTTATCATTTATGGAAGAAAAAAGTTAAAATATTAGCATTTGCAATTACAAACTCGTACAATTTTTCGTAATTAAAATGTTGTAGCATGCACCTTCGAAATTTTATAACTAGTAAATAAATAAAAAATCATGAAAGATACATGTTACTTTTAACAATAATTTTGAAGATAACAAAGAAACATTTTTTTTTTTCATTGTGAAATACATGTCCCTATCATACCAGTACAACAAAATAGTACCTAGGCTTGAGGAATTCACACAAAGCCAGGCTATATGACCTAGGAGGTGTTTTGGTTACCGGTCATCAGTTCCACGTGACCACCGCGCAGAACCAGCTTTAGCTAAACCCGAATAGTAATCTCCAACATTTGCAACAAACAGAGGATCTCTCTCTTCGATCTTTAGAGGATCAAAACGTTTCGAACCATGATCATTCCCTTCATCAGATTGCTCCAAGTCTTCTGTTAAATCTTCCATTGTTTTCTTGAGATTAGCTTTGCTCATCTGTGTAGCTTCTCCAGTTGAAATCCCTACCATTGTTATCTTTGGTAAGAAAGGACTCAGCTGCATTTCTCTCTCTCTAGATTCCATATCCCTGAAACCCGAGAAACTTATATGGTTAACGGTTTATATTCTTTGACAATATCTCATTTCTCATATGTTTAAGAACAATTGCGTACCTTTGATCCGATGAACCCTTTTGAGCGTGTTCTTTTTTCGGCACAGAGTGATTAAGCCAATCTCCAAAAGGAAACCAGAGATTTTGCTGTCTTTTTTCTTCTTCCCTTGAATTATCGTCTTCTACTTTAAGCAGTGATGCAGAAGTATCTGCTTCTACTGAATCACCAAGACATCTAGTTGTTGACTCTGAAGCTCTTTGGATGGAAAATGCACTCCTAAGAGCAACGAGAGAAAGAATAAATAAGCCAACTAATGAGTGAAACGAGGCACTTAAAAGTGTTGGTCTACGTGCATCAGATCAATTAGATTTGCTTGCAACGGTTTATAGCTAATTGAAATTCTTAATTCTAAATCCTCCTCGGACCTGCAGCAAAATTCCAATGCTTTTCGAAAAGATTTGAAACCATATCTAATTATAGTACACAGAGAGCTGAAAGCCAATGTCAAATGTCCAAATATTGATTTCTTCTTCAGGAAACTTCACAGTTTTTGGTGTCAATGTGGCATAGGGGCTTCCCTATCTAAAAATAACGGTGTTGGAGACTGAAATACTAACACTTTCATTCAACAAATTTTTAAAAATATGAAAGCCTAGCTTTGGAGAATTTGTAAGAATCAAGGAAGAAACAGAAAGACAACAGATGCATACCTTCTTTCAAAAGAATCGACCAAATAAGGTAACTTTGGCTGGATCCCCGTGGCTTTTCGAAACCATCTACTACCTAAAAGTACTCTGTCTACGGCGTATAAGAACTGAATCTCTGCAGCCTTTGCCACTACACTGAGAGGAATTCCGGAACTGCCAATCTCCTCCATGGCTTCTTGAACCTGCAATTCAACGCAATGTAAGAAACCGTAAATTATAGATACTCCATAACCAACCCCAAGAAAACACCAACAACAGTCATTATCAATATTTTCGCCAGCGAAAAGCAATGAGCTACTATGGTTAAAACTCATCATATCTACATGGGAAACTTCAAGCCAGAGGCATAAGCAAGACAATATGAATAGCAACTGAAAAACAATATTCCGGTAGCTTTTGCTGCTGATTATGATGATGACATGGTCAATGTTTCATCGTTGACATCTTTACTTTTATCATGAAAAATAATCAATGTGTGTACCTCTGGCGGCTCTAGCATGCTATCTCCCATCTCTTCCATAACCTCTGAAGCTAAGCTATCATCAACAACATCTCGTCGTCGTTGCACGTGTCGGGATTGGATCAAAGTATGGAAATGTTGATCTACTGACTCTTCAAGAATGTTATCTAGTACCGCTTTATCAAAGAAATATGGGGTATACCTGGTAAAGGTAGATTAACTTTAGATAATAAAAACAATACCAGGGATATTTCATACAAATGGTAAATGCTTCAAGGAACTATCAAGTTAAAACATCAGCCAATTCTGCAAGAAACTTGAAAAGCCAAGCTTTTTGAATCGAGGAACCATCAACCAAAACGCTGAAGGTTTTATCCAAAAATTGTTTTATTAGCATGTGTTCTGATAGTAAAACGTGGAAGGAATCAAATTCGCAGGGACCATAGAAGCAAAGTTATTCACATTTTCTACCAAATTCACATTGTTTTTCATCAGTAAAGCTCACCACTTAATCCCATCTGCAGTTGCAACAGCAATATCCAAGTTTTGAGCACCGAAAACAGGAACCCCATCCACCTTATGTTTTTTCCCATTTGTTGGCATTGACTTGAGAAGTTTATTGGCTGCCTTCACCTGCGAATCAGAAATCATTTCAGTTATGAATACGACAATAACAGGTACAGAGAAATGCATGCCAAACTGACACTATTTTACCTGTCTCTCATTCGGAACAAACTGAAATAAGTGAGGCTTCTCCTGTGGGCAAAATGAAACAAACTAAATTCAGTCTCTCCTACATTCGAATATAGTATATCAGAAACAACGTACTAGTTCCAATCGAGACTTACCTTGAAATGCTCATATGCCAAATCCAGTCGACAAGCTCCAACCACTCCGCTTGGAATATTTAGTTTTTTAACATATGAAACTGAGAAAATACACATCAAGTCAGGGGAAAATTCAAACCGGAAAACATTGCTCAATCATGCATAAAGTGAGAAAATGGTTAGCTTTTGCGAGTTCTAGACGAAAAGAAATAATGGAAGGACGAAAAGGAAATACTAAGTGCCTTCAAAATCTCCACTCCCATTCATTTCTCATTCTATCAGTCCAATTCCAAACAGCTCTTAAAGTGCATACAAGCGAGTAGCATCTAGAGGAGTTCGTTACTGTAAATTACTTTAAAGCTTACAAAGAGAACAATCATTGCACCTGCATCACCGAGATCCATGAAAAAACGGAATACAGGGCCATTCCTCTCGCTCTTCGTAATTGTAGAAAACATTTTCTTCAGCCACTGAGGGGTTCTGTACATAAACAAAGAAACAAATATGAAAGACGAAACTTGAAAACATAGAAAATCATATAATCGTTTTAACCCTTTGATCTAAATCAGTGACTAGCTCCACAAATTGTATGCATCTGATCTCTAAACAGCCACTGATTCCTAGAAAATTGGAGATAATTCAATTGAAATTGGAGTGAGAAAGAAACCTCTTGGAGATGAAAGGAATATCGAAATGTGTAGAAACAGCCATAAGACCAGTCCCAGTAAGGTCACACATACTAAAGACCTGACCGACGAAAGCGGGTCCACCGCGTTTCCCATCGGAGCTGAGAGATGAAATCCTAACCGTCGAATTAAGTCCGGAAGAGGTTGATGATGCGTTCTTGACCGTCGATTCCACCGGAGAGTTATCGTCGGATACGGAGAATCTAAGTGGGAGGCATACACGAGACGGCGTCGTTTTGGGAGGGAAGAGAGGAATGATTGAAGAGATGGATGAAGCGGCGATGTGGAGAAACTCGGCGGCGATGTGGCGGTGATGATGTTTATCCGGCGAATCCATGTTGTTCTTCTGATTTTGTTCGGCCGCTCTATGTCATTTCGTGCGTAATAAAGGAGATGACTTTTGTAATTTTTAAAGGGAAATTATCAAGTATAACCATAAAAAAAAATGAAAACATAATTTCTAAGCAAATCCCTTACGTGTCACTAAGATTTTTGATTAATTATTATGTTTAAAATTTTTTTTAGTTATTAACCAAATTGACTCTTTTGTAAAAAGATTATAAAACAAACAAAAAATTACGATAAATGTTAAATCGATAAAAAAAGAGTCAAACTTAACTAATAGTACTGTTTTTCTAATCCGATAGAAATCCAAGGTTTAGTCAATATTTAGCATTACTAATCAGAAATTGTATTCGTATATCAACAAATACTAATCAAAGAAAACTAGCACTGTCCTACTTCAAAAAAATGTTTGAGATAATTACTAAAATAATTTTAAAAAATAGCTTAAGTACTAAAACAATTTTTATTCAACTTTAATACTCAACAAGTGTTCTAAAAGACATATAAACCTTAGTATAAAGTTTTTATTACGAAAATGTCATTCATCATTAATTAAAAAAAAACAGAGATTTGTATGAAATCGCGGCCGCGGAGGCTGCGGACGCGGTTGATACGCGCTTGGCAGAGGTGTGGAGACTGCAGAAGCACCGAAATTTAGGTAACAATCGGATTAAAAATCAAAAATTGGAAAAAAAAACTCAAAATCTTTTGATTTTTTGTTAGAAAAGAGATATATGATGTTAGATCTACTAGTTTTAGGCAAAATCCAGTTGAAAACGAGTTAAAATACAGTAAAAACGAACTCAAAAATGGCTGACCGTCATTGTTAGGGTTTGAGAAAAGCTTGGTGTTTTGTGGAGAAGATGAAAGGTAAATTACGATTTTACCTTTTATTGAATAAATCTACCACTATTATAAATAGGTCTATCACTACTATAAATAAGTCTACCACATATTATAAATCTACCACTACCAC